ATACTACTCTCTTTAAGACTGATCTTATAATTAATCTTCTTCTTTAGAGATATAATCTTAGATTTTTAAACTTTAAATATAGATATATAATCCTATAGTTTAGAAAGAATTTAATTAGAATTTAAACTATTTTTAGATTTATATTTATCTAGAAAGACTAAATTATCTTCTAGTATCTTTAGTACTATAAAGATACAAATTTTATTTCTATATACTTTTATAAAATATAATATAGTTAATATTTTAATCTTTAACTTTTTAGTTTTAAATTACTACTAATTCTTCTATAGAACTAATATAATTTTGTAATTAATTAGTATTAAATTTTTTTAAAAAAAACTAGAGATACTTTAATTCTTAGATCTCTATTAACTATAATATAGGATTAATTTAGTATCTTTTTAGTACTATATAAGTTACTTATAGTAATAGGAATAGTCTAAATACTATAGATATATATACTCTTTTTCCTAACTATTTCTAAGATAGAAGAGTTAAACTTAGTATATATATCTAAGTTAGACTTCGGCAATGGGTCCAAATGGGTCCAACTTTTGGACCCATACCCAACCCATGATGGGTTATGGGTTTTTTCAAAATGGTGCACCCATCCCGATGGGTACCCATGGGTTTTTCATGGGTACCCATATGGGTACAAAAAACCCATATTGTGCATAAATTTGAGGCTTGGCATGGATAATTCAGCTGACTGATCATTGTAATTTTGATATTCATGACTTCATGGCTGTATAGTTACAGTCTCTTCTCAAAATACATTTTTTAAAATCAGCAGAAGAATCTTTGAATCAAATTATTTATTTTTTTCAGATCAAATTGTTAAATTTAGGTAGCAGTGGTTCTATTTTTGTAGTATGTAATGTTTTGGCTGTTTTGACGCTTAACCTTGGAAGAACATGGAGATATATATCTCTAGGAAGGTAATACATACTCCAATATAACAGGGATCAAAAATGCTTTTCACTTCAAGAACTACCAAAATCTAGAGCACTAATAAATACTCATAGAGAATAAAGTCTACTAGTATTTATTTATTCATTTTTACTATAGATACCCAGGTAATAGAGAGCTTTTAGAGACAAAGAGTCTATCTTATAGGTGGGATGGTTTTTCGCCCAAAAACTGCCCATGGTCAAAATCTTTTTCGACCCAAAAAGTGGGAAATGGGTTGGGAATGGGTATTAAATGGGTTTCTGATGGGTATTATGGGTTTCCGATGGGTTTTTGATGGGCTTTCGATATATCACATGGGCTTGATGGGTTGGTGATGGGTTTCAGTGGATCAGATCTGTGCCCATAGCCAATAAAATATCATTTCCCTATATTGCTTTTACTTATCCCCTTTTCCAGCTGGATTTAGAAGAATCTGTCTGTTCAGTCAATCTCTTTGCTAAAGGTATGTTCTCTCCTAATATGTCTCGCTTTCTCTACAGCTATTTTTCAGTTGGTGTCAATATGTCCCAAGGCCAAAGCCAGGAGTCTGACTTTCTGCCCTCTCTTTATGAGGGGGACACAGGTCAGTTAACTGATTTTACTCCTTCAAATCCTCTTATTACGCCGACAAACAGTATTCTTGGTTCTTGTCCAATTGAAGGTAGTGAGCCTGATTTTCTCCGACCGAGCAATCTTCCTCCCCCTGACTTATTTACTCGTGTTGGCCCCAATCGGAGAAAGGCATTTGTACTTTACAACAGCATGACTCACACAGATTGGGTTGATTGGTGGCTCCAGACAGACTTTGGACAGAAAAGCAATCTCAAATGGGATACAAATCGCAATTCAGATATCTGGAGTCACTTTGATCAGGTTGCCGCTTGTAAAGATGGGGCACCAAAGGTTATGTGTAAAAACTGTGCCCGGATCTTAGAGCATCCTGCATCAATTTTACCAAATGGCAGAAGTCTATATGGTACATCAACTCTGTTAAAGCATCTCAAAACAGCAGCTTGCCAAAAGGTCAAGGCCAACAGAAAAGAGGATATCTCTCAGTTCCTAATATCAGAAGTATGTTCTCTATTTACTATTATTTATCTTATATTAACTATTTTAGGGCCAAACAGCTACTCAGTCATTCTCACAAACTACATGGGAGACACAGCTATTGCAGTTTCTCACCTTAAATCGCCTACCATTCCATCTTATTGAACATCCAACCTTCCACACCCTTATCCGATCTGCACGCTTAGCACCTTCTCCTCCGATGATACCTTCTGCAACAACGATTCGGCGACGATTACGAGATATTATCCAAGATAAACAACGCTCTACTCTCAAAACCCTTCCTCCTGAGTCAAAAATATCGATTGCACTAGATTGTTGGACTTCTCCCTATAACCAGGCTTTTATGGCAATCACTGGTTATTTTGTTAATGCCAACTGGGTATATCAAGAGGTTCTTCTTGGATTTAAGCCATTATATGGCTCACATACTGGTGCAAATCTAAGCGCAGTTCTCCTTGAGACCTTGACCCATCACAACATCCAAAATCGAGTCTTTGGAATTACAACAGACAATGCGACAAACAACAAAACTTTGGTGGATACAATTCAGCAAGCACTCTCTAGTGAGACCACTGTTATCCGAATCCCTTGTCTTGCCCATGTCATCCAGCTCTGTCTGAATCAGCTTCTTGATCGTCTTAAAGCTGTACCCCAAAATGATGCCGCTGAGACAAAATGGACCGATCGGCAATCGTCTGCAGCAAAGGCAAATGCAAAACAACAGAAACATGAGATTTCAGGCACATTGAACAAGGTCCGCTATCTTGCAATTTACATCCATGCCAGTCCTCAACGGCGAGAGACCTTTCTCCAGCTTCAGCCTAAAGAACCTAGGCTAGTGCCTATTCAAGATGTCCGAAATCGATGGAACTCAACCTTTTTGATGCTTCGACGTGCCAAACGACTACGCAGCTACTTTATATCATTCTGTGAGCAGTATGATTGTAAAGAGATGTTGCTTAATAATGAGGAGTGGCGTCAGATTGATTATCTTCTCTGTATTACAGAGCCTTTCTTTGACTACACTACTGAGCTGTCAAAGACAAAGGAGGTTACTACACATCTGGTTTTCAAGCTCTACAATGCACTCTTTGAGCATCTTGAGAAGTCAATAGGTCAGCTAAAGAAGAAGCGGATTCCATGGAAAAAGCAGATGCTCCAATCACTTGAAGCTGGCCGACAGAGGCTTGGTGGCTACTATTCGCAAACAGATGGTGTGAAAGGACATATCTTTGCGATTTGTACTATGGTTGCACCAGATAGCAAATTCCAGTTCTTTCAAACTGATGACTGGGAGCAACAGTGGCGTGTTGCATATCGCAAATCATTCCAGTCAGCACTGCTTCCATATCAGCAACGTCTTGCCAGAGATCAAGCCTCACCTACACCCCAGGCATCATCAAGACCTACATCAAAACTCAACAAGATGCTCAGTGGGAGCAAGACTATAGCAAAACCTGTTGGAGATGAGGCTGCTCAGTATCTTGATAGTGGTCAGTCTTGTTCTTTAACTCTTTCATAAAGAGTCTTTATCTTTAATATTCTATACTAATTTATTTCTAGACCCAGTCGAAGATGAACCACTTCATTTTTGGCGTGAGAACCAGTCTCGGTTTCCCGCAACTGCATTGCTTGCTCGAGATTTTCTTTCAATCCCTGCAACTGGTGCTGGTGTTGAGCGGCTTTTTAACACCGCGCGTGATGTCTGCCATTACCGACGCGGCCGTTTAAAGTCTGAGACTATTGAAGAAATCATGCTATTCCTGTGTGCATCAAGATTCGATCTCCAGGAGGCAGAGATGAAGCAGCTTGAGAAGTATTTTACGTTGGATGAGATTGAGATGTCAAAGGAACAGAATGATGAGAATCTCCAGGATGTTGAGATAGTTTCGATTAGTGATAATGAGGAGGAGGAGGAGGAGGAGGAGGAGGAGGAGGAGGATATTGTTGTAGCTTCTACTACTGAATTAATAGATCTTGGTGTTGAGGGTCAAGATCCTCAGCAGCCTCTATTACCAGAGAATGGGACTCAGCTACGGATGTCTACAAGGAAGCGTAAACACAGAGAGGACAATAATTTTGAGCAGTACTAGAATTTGAATAATAGAATTAATTTGAATCAATTATCATCATCATGTAGGTTCTTTTACATGTGACTAGAATACCTAAAATTACAGCTAAATTTGCATTAATTATGCAATCACGAGATTTTTCGTAGTTTGCCCTGTTTACAGCAATATGGGTACCCATATGGGTACCCATGATGGGTTATGGGTTTTGAGCTCCGACCCATAACCCATCATGGGTCGGAGATTTGGACCCAAAACCTAACCCATCGATGGGTTGGGTATGGGTACCCATGGGTACCCGTGGGTCGTGCCGAAGTCTAATCTAAGTTAGTATATATTTAGATATCTTTTCCTACTATAATAGAAATATATAATTATATAATAGTTCTTACTTAAGACTATAAGTCTAAATCTATAGAATCTAGTTTAACTTATTACTTTTTTCTACTATTTTTAGGGAGTTATCTTTAGTTTTCTTAACTTCTTAGATCTTTACTTTACTATCTCTAAACTTTAGATAGTCTAACTTTATATAATCCTTAGAACTATATTTCTAGTAAGTTCTATAAAAGTATTTCTTACTAGTACTAGAGAGTTAAAAGAACTTACTAATATTCTTTAACTATCTCTTAGTTTTATTTTAGTTATCTTAAGAAAAGTTATTATTTTAACTCTAAATTAGAGTTAACTAAGGACTATTCTTAGATAGATAGTCTTAACTTATTTTTTTCTCTCTTATAATTCTTTATTAATGATCTATCTTATTAATCTAGCTATCTTAGGTTAAAAAGGTCTTACTTAGTCTATAAGTTATAGAACTTTTCTTACTAGTTCCTTGGCCAAGACCATCCCCTCTTCCCCCCTTCGACTCTGAGCTGACAGGATTTTGTCATTCCCAACGCCGGCAGCACCATGAGGTCGGGCTACATCAGTGTTGACTATAAAGTCCCGCGTTCCTACCTGTTCGCCGTGGTCGCCAATGTCGGCCCCGGCGGTGCCAGTCGCACTCTGTCTGTAGCATACCGTCAGCACCAGGAGGAATGGAACTCCTTAGGATCAGGGGCACGAATGCAACATATGGTGGCCGACACTCTGGCGCTGATCGCCATTTTCTCAGATCCTGCCAACCGCGCGTGTCTCGAGGCGGAGAAGGCCCTCGCAAACTGGTATCGTCGATCCCTCGACCCGCCGATTGATGAGCGACCCAGTGTGCCTGATCGCCCGCAGCCCCTTTATCTGCCACTGACAGAACGCCGGCTGGACCTGGAACCACTACCCCCGCTGACATGGTGCTATGATGCAGTCCGGAAATTTCCGTTCACTGCGACATGCGTATCGCTGGCGTTGTTACGTGGCGACCATGACCACAACACCGCCATCAGCGATGTTCAATTCCAGCCCCTGTCGACGATATTCCGGGGCGACTGTAAGGAGTACGGCCTTGTTGTACTTGATATCTCCGACCTAGAGACCGGTGTGAGGTATGGTATTGTGGCATTCCCCATGCGCTACATGACCGACGTTCAGCACCAAAGCCCGACAGGGGACTATGGTCGTGTCAAAGCCACCCCACCAGCCCAGGAGCCGGATGTGGTCCTAGAGAGCTCACGGCCTCGAAAGCTGTTATCGATTGCTGAGTGGCTGTGCCGGTATTACTCCTGGCGTGTAGACAAGCACCCAGGCGTCCTATAGCTGAAGCAGAGACTGCTGGCGGATACAGCCTCCTTGAATTGTATGTTGGGGACCGATGATCTAGTGAAACCTGGATGGATGCAGCTGTGCTAACGGAGAAATGGCAGATATCTGGCCACCGGAGTTGGTTCCCCCGGAGGTTGTCGAACCGGTTCAACCATTTTCTAACAGTGCTATCTCGCGCATCGTGAACTGTCAGTAGCTGCCTTACCGGTATATATATCTCTAACCTATGAAACAGACTTTCGACCGCCCAAGTCCACCAGCGGTCCCTCGGACTATATGGCCGGCTACACCATAGACGACCCACCGCGAGACGAATCTCTCACGCAGCGAAAGGATGGATCCTCCAGAGACGTAAACGAGAAATCAATTAAGGCTGAAAAGGGTCGATCATCAGCAGCTTCAAGCAGAAGCACCCTAGTTGAGCCACCCGCACCGATCCCATCAGGCATAGACCGCATCATTGATGATCTGCTCGATCTCACCCAGGAACCCACATCCACGCTCTGTGCGAATGGGGAAAGGCCGATGGTGAATATTGAACTGCTTTCCCAGTTCCATGAAAGGCTACGAGAGAGGCTTGAAGAGGCACCACATCGGCTTGGTCCCGCTATATTCTCCAGCCAGGTCCTACGCGTGGCCTATGCAGCATGTCAACACCTCAACTGGGGAGTATTTAACTTATCACCTCGGGTAATCACTGCAGCCATCACCGCAGATGCGCTTCGCAGCGCGTCTGCACTGACTCTCTGCGTTGATGAGCAAGTACTGGAGGAGTCATACCTTAATGATCTCGCCGCGGCCCTGGCGCAGTCCACATCTCTTCGGCAGATATTCTTGGTACGGCGGCCGGGCCGGAAGGACAATGACATTCCGACTCGTTTATGCTCGCAGTTACTGGAACTATGGGAGAGGGAGTCTAAGAAACACCTGGAACGGAGAATCATCCAGTCAACCTCAGCATTTTCAAGCGGCCTACGCAGCCTCGAGTCGATCACACCCCCTTCAACGATTGGCTCCTCTTCCACGTCCTCCGGTGTTACAGCCTTTCCCATGATACACATTTTCTTGTTTAACAGCAAGGACAGCGCCAGCCCCGGGGATACAAGACACTACTCCCTAGAGAACACCCTGTTAACAGCCGAGCACTTCGCCGTGCGGTTCCTTGCATACCTTCGAGCCCTCGGTCCCGACATGGAACCTGACAAGGCCATCTTGCGACTTGCATACGATTGGGGCACATCGGTGCTTACACCCTCCCACGACGGAACATCGTACGGGCCAACGGATCATGTTACAGCTTCATCACCAGCGCCAGATGAGTTGGGTGTATCCCCCATACCCATTGGATTCTTTCAATCAAACTCTACTGCTCAGGACAAAACCCGAGTCCGACTTGGAGATATCCCCTCCGGCAGCTGGGTTGTCCTTATGGATCGACGAGACCTTAGACAAGAAAGAAGCGATGACAAGGCCCTCTTACGATACACGTTCATCCGTATTCCTCGGTCCTCCGCCGATACTGAGCCCGGGGAACAACAGCAGGTCGCCCCTAGGACTGTGGAGGTGGTCGGTGGGCTGATCGACTTCCTGCAAGCAACCGTCCCAGACATTGATGTTCCCACATGGGAAACGCGGCTTGACCAGGTGAAGAAGGACGTGGCGAAAGCTTATACGAAGATGACCCAACCCAAACCCAAGTCGCTTAGTGGCCTGGGCGTGAAGACCTGGCTTCGACAGATCGTGGAGCGGTACCCTCGGGAGGCGGAACCAGACGTGCAGGATGAGTTTTTGGAGCAGGCGGTCGTACAGACACACTTGTTAATGGACCCGGCGGTTAGGGGGAAGGTAGAGATGGTAGAACGCTGTATCATTATCATCCGCGTTATTGATGAGAGCTTGGCCCATACGTTTCTCGACCGGTTACTGTGATCAACCTCCATCCTGAGCCTCATCGACTTGAGATTCTATGGTTGGCTCTGGAGAGAGCGTTGGTAAGGGGTGTAAAACTATGTACGGAGGGAGGTGTCGCTCTGTTTTGTTATATCATGGGTCGACTTGGTGTATATTAGCACTTCAATCCAGACATTTGCTACAGGTGGTAATCGTGTACAGTCCATCCGAATGCACTTTACTTTGTGCAACCAGGGGAGAATAATTGATCTGCAAAGCGTACTTGGGTCTGGAAAAAACTGCACTGACCTGGGAGACAGACAGTCTTACCCAGTGTTATTGGTCCAGTGGCTGAATTGCTTTAAATCGAGCCAGGTTCTACGACCCCCATTCGGGCATTTTCCATGGCTTGCAGTTGGAAAGGGCCACCAGTATTCGGCTTTCGCAAATATTTAGCCAACACATTCTCCATAGGACAATTACAGGTGACCATAACACTAAGCCAACATTCCCACCTACATTAGCCACCAGCCCCCACGGTTACCTGGCCACATACTAGCAGCCGACTAGTTCCTTAGCCGTCACATGATCCGCCCAGCCCTGAACCTGGAACAACGACACCCCTTTCACATCTTCCAGCTGAGCGACCACAATGTACTCAGAATACACCACCATCTACACCAGAACCCCCCCGGTCTTTCCTCTTCGCCATTGTTGCGAATGTCGGCCCCGACGGGACCACCCGCCCCCTGGCCGTGGCCTACCGCCAACACCACGACGAATACAACACCCATACGTCATACCCACGAGTGCGCCATATGGTAGCTGATACCCTCGCACTGATCGACAACCTCTCTGATCCCGCAAACCGCGCACAACTAGAAGCCGAGACGGCGCTCGCAAACGACTGGTATCGTCAGTCGTCAGGGGACGAGCTTCCCACACATGAACGGCCCAGCGTGCCGGACACCGAGCAGCCCCCCTACATGCCCATGGTCGACTCCACGGGGCCAGTGAAACAGCAGCCCCCGCTCCCCTGGCGGGAGGACGGAATCCGCCAGTTCCCATTCACCGCCACCTGCGTTCTACACGCGTTGCAGCGGGACGATGCCTCTCGCGAGAGCACCCGCCCCGGCGACATCCAGTTCCAGCCTCTATCGACAGTCTTCCGAGCAGACTGTCTCGAGTATGGCTTGGTTGTTCTCGACATCTCCGATCTTGATCGTGTGACGTACGGCATTGCCGCGTTTCCTACATGCTATATGGCTACGGTTCCGTGCGAAGACGAGAACATAGGCTGGGATCCGGTCGAGGACGAGCAGCCGGACCAGGTGGATCTTGTCCTGGCTAGTCCGCGTCCTCGTGTGTTGTTGTCGATTGGGCAGTGGGTGCGGAAGTATTGTGAGTGGTTGTCGGTGGAGGAGGCGCCACGCATCCTCGAACTGGAGGAGAGGCCGGTGGCTAAGGCGACAACGCTGGATTGTAAGTTGATCTCCATAGGGCTCCTCCCCAAAAGGACATCTGGATGGTGGGTGCTAACGGGTAAATGGCAGATATCTGGCCACCGGGGCTGGATGACCTCCCTCGATCCGTGGTGGAGATGGGAGCCTCCGGTGCCTCCAGCGTGACTGTGGCAGACGAGCCGCGGCACACTGTCTCGATAGGAATGACAAGAACGACAGGAACGGGCGGGTGAAGATCAGCTTGAACAACAGGAACTGCAAATATTCACCCGCTCCCTCACTCCCTGGAGATAACAGAAGGACGGCCCGACTTTCTGCGGGCGACCGCACCAGAAACTGATCTTACAGTGTGGGAGAAGATCGCGTCAACGCCTACGAACTGGAACACTACCTCATTATAGGGTGGATGTTTGGTTGTATTGTATTATATGGTTTGCGAAATAGATATGTCCCTTAAAGAACGATTGCATATTACTTTCATCTAACATTGACTTCCTAAACAGCTCCATTTGCAACTACGACAATTGAGTACAGGATAGCACCCAGAATATACAATATCTCCACCCCCTTATCCAAGCAGGCGAGGGGGATCAACAGAACGGAACCTCCACCTAACCTACCCGCCGTGATCGCAACCCGTGTAGGCGCATCTTGTATTGTAATCATCTTTCCTAGCCCTGCAGTTTGATGCTGAGTCTACAAAAAACTAGGTACTTCCTCGGAGCAGAGCAGAGATCCCAACATTAAACTATTATGTATGGTACAAGTGGGCCACTGCGCGTATCCATCTAGGTCTAGGTAGCTTTTCACACCAGGAAACGTACTTCATCATCCAACGGCCACGCGCAACCAAACCCAGCCCTGTAAAGTTGACGTGAAAGATTCGTTGCAACTAGTGCGATCCCTACCACGCTCAGACTAAACAGTCCAACAATTCCCTCGCCCTGCTCTCGGACATGGTCCCGATGGCGATGGACCGTTGCCCTGTTCCGACGGAGCCTCTCCAGGCACGAATCTCCCCGATTCGCGTCTCCCACGCGGGGAGGTCGGTTTCCGGCGCGGTGTGACTGAGAAAGTCTGTGAGGCCGCCGACCACCTCGGCACGACTGGCGGGCAAGCTTTGGTCTGGCTCGATCGTCTCCGCGGCGGCCTGTGGGATCCTCACAAAGGAGTACTGTATGACGACGTCGTCGTCAGCGTGGTATTCCCGTGGATAATCAAGTGGAGGTGGTCCATCAGGTTGTGGTGGCGTGTCCGCCGCTGGTTCAGTGGGATCTGATATCTGTTTCGACAATCCGACCAGTACCACCCAGCTGCCGGGCTGGATGTCGCTGAGTTTGGGTGTTGGGCCGTTGGGCGAACGGTGGGAATTGGAAAATCCCGCTGGGATGGGAATGACGCTGAGTTCACTGGACGATGATGATGAGGGTTGGTGGTATGCGAATTGCAGAAGGGCTTTCTCGGATTCCGAACCCGAGCTCAGGGCTGACAGATAGGCCAGGAAGCGGACGGCGAAGCTCTCCCCGTCTAATCGGGTATTGGTCATGGCGTAGTGTTGGTACGTCTGGACGTTGTCTGTAGGTACGACTGGGTCTTCTCCGTCCTGGTGGTGCCCGAACAGGACCATGTGCATCATAGGAAGGATGGGGGCGTGCGGCAGGCTCAGACCGTGAGTGATGGTTGACGACCACGGGAGGTATTCGCTGCTACGCAACGATGTGGAGAAGGCATATGTTGTATGGATGGTCCCTCGTTCTTCTACCCTGTCCCGCTGCCAAAGAAGCAGCAGCTCCGAGTAGCAACTAGCGGACGAATCAGCGCTCTGTTAGTTCACCCCCTGGAACAGGCACACCTGCTGTAGGCCCGCACACTTTGCTATAGTCGCTGTATTGATAATAGTAGTAGAAGATTATTGGGATAGGGTATTTATCTCTAAATCTATAATCTCTTTTATTACTTTGTATCTCTAGTTAAGATATTAATTTTACATAACTAAAGCTAATTAATATAAATAATTATACTAGTTTACATATAGGGAGGCTATTTACTATAGTAACTAATAGTCTATATGAGTAGGAAGATTTTAGCTCTATTATAGTTATTATAGTAGTAACTATATATTTAATATAAATTCTATTATCTTAGATATAAAGTCTAATTTTAGTTATTTATATAGGCTTAATTAAACTTAAGGATTTTAGTATTAAGATTTTAGTATTAAGTTGAGTAATTTATTCATAGTATAGTAGAATATAATATATGTTTTATATATCTTTATAATAACTATAATAATGTATAATATAGGACTATACTAATATAAATATACTATCGTGTATTAGGATTAGAAGTAGTAATTTTAGTATCTATATTAGTATACTTATTTTCTAGAATATTAAAGTAACTAGTGTTTTATATATAAAAATAACTATTATAACAAAGCTGTTTGTCTTCTCTTATTATGAGTTAGAATAGAGTTAGAAGAATATACTGATAAAGATTATAAATTATAAATAAATCTACACTATTTACTTTTCTAGATCCTTAATTATCTCCAAAGAAAGAAATTAATCCAGAACAATATTAACCTCTAGAAAAACAAGTCTACATCATCTAAGATGATTATTTTCTAGAAATTTAACGATAAAAGTATTATTATTTTACTTATTCTAATAGTTAGACCTCTGAGAGATAAATTCAGATTAGCTATCTTTTCTATATTTCCTAGTATATTTATTAGACTAATAAATCTATTACTAATCCTCTCAAGTATAGTATCTATACTTCTTAGTCTTAGCAGATCTTTTAATAATATAGATCTTTTCTAATATATTTCTTTTTGGTTTTTTCTCTACTTCTAAAGATTCTCCTTATTCAAAAGTCAGTAGAGATATTCTTTTTGATCTTATAATCAACTTCTACAAGTAGATCTTTATATAGGATATTAGGATTCCTATAAATTACTTCAAAGTTTATTGACGTTCTTCCTTATTTAAAATCTGTTTATAGCCACGGCCAGCATAGCTCTTATTTATATAACCTCTTCTTTGATGAATATATATAGTAGATTAAATTATCAAGAGTGGAATTGTTGGATTTTCCGCAGTAATTTATAGAAATTACTATTAAGTAGCTAATCAAAGTTCAATAAGCTTTGTACGGATATATTAGTCCACATAGCAGTGTATTGTTGTCTACAAGGGCTTATTAAAGCCCTATTTGATCATAAGAGTACTGGAGGAGGTGTAGAGGGGACAGGAATTATAAAAATAGTTGATATGAAAGCCTATATACTATGTAATAGGGTGTGAAATAGCTTCATGGTGAGTGTGGCGATGTAGATGCTAAAATAAGGGGGGGGGGGCGGTGAAAAAGTGGATTAGACGAGTTATTTTGGCCTCCCACTGTATTACTAGAAATTAGCAAATTTGAGAAAGATTTGAATATATATTTCTAGACTTATTTTTAGAAAAAAAAGATTAAACTAAAGATACAGTCTATTAAATACTATAACAATAATCTTAGTGTACTAATACTAAGTATTAATAGTTATAATATATATATATATAGTAGTAGTAGTAGTAGTAGTAGTAGTAGTAGTAGTATAAATAACTAAGATAGTTACAGGACAATAAGCTGTCATCTTACACTAGAAAATTGAAACTCTAGATCTAGGGAAAATAATGTTATTAAAGTATTTCAAATATATTCTTTTGATTTGTATACTAAATTCTATTTAAAAAAGGACATAATATCGCTCTGCTTTTATGTTAACTACCTAGCCTGTATCACCCTCTTATACCTATAAATATTAGATATTATCTACACTGAGTTTTCTTTCTACTACTCTTTATAAAGGTATAGTATCTCCAATATACTAACTCTAGCTTAGACTATTTTATCCTTGGGATTAAGAAAGTACTTCATATTTATCAGATGAACTATCGAGAGTCTTAATATTGAGAGATTAGATAACATTTTATCAATAATTAGCTAGTCACTTAAATCTTGATAAGAACTATTATTACATAATACTTTTTTTTAAAAATAATTACCAATAGATCAAGCCAGAATATTGAGTTTCTAAAATTATATTATATTATTTATCATAGATTAGAGAATTTTAGGGATATCAGTATCTTACTTGATATAGTATTTAGAATTCTATTGGGCCCAAGTGTCTTATATGGAGTAATATTCTTAATAATATATATAATTTCTTTGATAACAATCAAAAGAATCTCAATAAATTAAGAGTAGTAGTAACGATTAACATTGGATAGATTAGCTTCGAAGATAATAAAGAAGAAAATGGTACAGAAAAAATTATTTTCTTAACTATACTAATATATTCTTAGTCTAAAGTATTATCAAGTATGAATAGTAATATCATCAGTTAGTTTGATTTCATAAATAGTCATAGTAAGATACTAGAGATTATCAATATTATCAGTTACCATTTTTATATAGTCATACTAACTTTTTGAGACTAATTTCTTACTTAAATAACCTAACTTATTCTCTAACTACAAGTACTCTACTTAAATCTTGATTTCAATTTCTTATTAAACACTCTATATTTACTTTTAGACTTATTAGACTTGTTGATAGAAAAATATTAGAAATAGTGTATAAATTAGTTAGGAGTATTAGATATTAGTAGTCTTTAGTGTATAGATTTTAGTAATACTAATTAGTATACTAATATTAATTATAGTAGGACTAGGTCCCTATATAGTATATATAGCTTATATGATATCTAGATATATTAACTAACTTCCATAATAAGTTAAAAAAATCTTAATTTAGGTCTTCTCATTAACTTTCTTCTACTTTAAGTTTAATCTCCAGTGAAATATTTATGAGAGTACTATAGTTAAACTTTATTAGTCTTAGTATACAATTAGTAGTATAATACTACTAACATCATATAACATTATATAGTATGTAGAGTAGATACTTAGATCTAATATTAAGTAGATTTTCTAACTGAAAATAGGGGTTCGAAACAAAGTAACCTCTTTCTATATTAATACATTAAGTCTATAATTCTCTATTATTACTAAATGGGTTTAGTTTTATTATTATAGAGATTAGAAGACTATATCTTGGATTATAGTAGATAGTAGAGATTAAAGTTACCTGTAATAATCTATTTACTAGTATTATAAATATGTATTCTAAGATTGAGTCTCAGGAATGACCATAGTGATAATTCTGGTAATAGTTTTAATTCACTTAATCTGCTATATACTATTGATAAAGGTACTTCCATTCATAGTAGTAATATGAAGATCTTCTTTGATAGTATATCTTATATTAAAATTAATCTCAACATATTTTCTATAAATGTAGCTCTACACTTGATTATCTTTATAGTCCTAGGGATATACTTAAAATAGAAAGTAAGATCAACTCTATTTTATCGTAGGGATCTCTTCTATACTGATAATTATAGAGATATAACTTACTAAGATACTTTAGTAATCTTTTTTCTTTTTTAGAAGAGTAGTTATAGTAGTAAAATTAGAATTATCTGTAGGAATTTAGATACTAAGATCGAGATAATCTAATACTAAAGAGATAATATCCTAGTTATTACTACTATAAGAGATACCATTTTTGTACTGAGAATTTTCTATAGAGGCTTATAGTATTACCATAGACTTTTATCATAGAGTTACTAAATATAGGCTAATTAGTTTATCTATATGAGATAGTCCCAATAAGAAATAGAATAATAGATATACTTCTTGTGAATATTATTATTAACATAAGTAGTATATCTCATAATCTCAGAGTTATAAGTATAATAGTAATCATTAGATATAAAATACATATACTTTAGATTTTCTATAGATATAGATAAAATATCTATAGGCTTTGTATTAGTAGTATGACGTACTATAAGTGATAGTTATAATTATAATAGTAGTAAGTATAAATATACCTACAGAGAACTAGTTTATTAGTAACTACCTAAGTAGTATCTATAGTATTATTAAACCTAATAATTAGATTAGTAATCTCTAGTTTTATATTCTCTAATATAAGATAGACAGGAGAGATATCTTTATCTTTTAGTATAAATATCTATAGATTATCCTCTAGGAAGAAAGTGATATAGATATCTTATATAATTACTACATATATAGACTCTTAGAATCTAATTTTCTATCTAAAGATCTAGTAATAATTTATAACTAGATTCAGTATAGTTTGATTGATAAATATAATATTCTAGAGTTAATTAATCTATAGTGAGATATTATTGTTAGTTAATACATACTGAGTAGACATATAACTACTATAATTTACTCTTAATATTTATATAATGTATTATCTTTTTTTTACTATCTAAAAATATTAGAGAATTAACAATTTGATAATCTGTCTTATAAACTATTAATTATAGATTTTCCTAGAGAATAAAGTATATCCCATCTCTATTAGAACCAGCTCTATTCAATGGTAATACTCTTATTTATCTCTATACTATCTATCTACATATAGACTATCAAGTACTAGTTACTTTTATAGCTAGTTTTACAATATAAATATTGAAAGATAATACCAAGAATAGAAAGAAGTAGACAGAATTTTACTACCATATAAACATTTTTCAAAGAGTTTTAG